TATATATATACGTTGAATTAAAAAGATAAATATTTGAAATTAACTGAAGTACGAACTTTGCGATAGTTTTCGAGCATGGCCAAGCAAATTTATTGTATTATTTATTATTAATTATTATTATAAAAACTTATAGCATTCCTGTCCTTGAGCTCAACGGCGGAGAACTTCGGTAAGTGAATACCACTGAAAGAAATTACTCAGTCTTTTGATTTATACCTTAAATTTATGAGCCATGAATCTTGAATAATTTGAATATATATCCTCGCAAATTTATCAATTCTTAATATTTAATCTACAATGAAGCTAAAATTTAATTCTTGAACTTAATCCAATAATATTAATTCCTTTCTTATATACATATATATATATATCTAAATTTAAACATCAATGATAACGAAATGAATTGTTATAGATTTTAAGGCGATATTATTTTATTTAAATAGAAAACCCTAATTAGTAAAATGGATCAATTTTATAAGACTATTTATTTGCGAATTTTGGAATTTATGAAGGCTTAAGGCTCTAACCGTCCCGCCGCCGAACCCCTAAATAGCCATGCTGGAACCACAATAAGTATCACATAGAATTGTGATATGGGGCGAATCAAACGTCGTAGATCTCGCCAAGGTCGGGTGGGTTAAGACTAGGGTATAATGAACATCTAATTACCCTACAACTGATCGAAATTACTCTCTCTCTCTTCTGAAGCTATTTGTATTTTAGGGGATTTGTTTCTTGTTTTCGGATTTGATTATAAAGTAAAATCATCCGGGTTTCTTCTTGAATTTTCGAGCTAGTGCACTTAATTTATTTTGTTGATGTGTAGTATGGATACGTGAAAAAGAACCTCCCCCATCCGTCGAGCTAAGTCTAAGACCACAAGAAGTGCACGCCCTTCACTCCCATCCATACGTCCCTAAGGTATATCCTCTGGACCTTGCAGAACACCTTGCATCTTGGTTCTGTTTTTGAACTCACAGTACCCACACATTACACAAGATGGATATGCAACAGTTTCTAGTAGACGACTTTGTGCAATTTCTTGTAAATTTAATTTCCTGTCTTACATTTCTGTTGGCGTTTTGTGAGCACTGACATCGAGTCTCTATATGTATTCGTTGTGGATTTGCATTTTGCCAAGACTATAGCCTATAGAGACGAATCAAGACGATGATGATGATAATTACGGTGATGTCTTCATTGCTCATCAGGTATGCAGAATTCATTTCCTTATTCGTTCAATTACTCACAGTCATCATGTGCCAGAGGTTTCTTAGAATTTCACTTCTTTTTTATTTTTGAAATTCAAATATTTGTCAGGTGCCACAGAAAATTTAATGAATGAATTTCAAAACTTAATTAGTTTTCGCCAGAATATGAAGTTGTGCCATTTTATTGATTGTCAATTGTGGTATCCAGCAGCTACGCCAGGATATGTAATTGCCAATTAGTTGCCGACATGTGTAAGGAATATTTTCTGCATTTTATTGTTATGTGGCAGCCCCAGCCATCAAATATGCAATAGGGTCGAATCAGGGGAGGGGTCACACAAATCAATTTCGGGTAAAATTTGTGAAATTTTGCGAACCAATAACCAGTTGAACAAAAACAAATGTCAAATATTTGCCAAATTACTCAGCACAAAACCCAAAAGCCAAAAGTTATGTGCAAAAATGCTTTTCCTTGCCAATGAGACGTGAACTTTTTATGGTTCTCAGTCCACCTCCCACCCAACCACCTCCCATCCTTGGGGCAGGCAGCTTTATATTCCAACCTGTGCACTCTCTCACGACGTCAAGGCAAACTAATTGATTTTAAAATAAATAATGACTAATCACCACCTGCAAGAGACCTGCGAGCGAAAGGAAAACGTGGGCTAGCTGGCATGCTCCTCTAGTTGCGAAAATTTCGTGGCAGCCACCTTGGCTTGCCCCTGTCCCTGTCCCTGTGCCTCTGCCTCTGGTAGTGCCACTGCCTTGCCCCATTTACCTGGCAGTTTTTGGGTCGATTCCGGTTACTGTGCAGACACGGGTTAACCCGTCCAGAGGGATCCTTTCCGCCGCTTGATTAATTGAAATTTCACTCACTGTCAAGGCACACACTACCGTGCTAGTGTGTGGAGCTCCAGGAAGGTTGCCCTATTCGCGGGGCTAGTAAAAGTGTTTTCAAATTAATTGAGTGCGCTAATTTTGGCAAAAAGGTTTTTTAATTGATGGCCCAAAGTTTCGAAACTTGTTTACTACAAGCTCAGTTCGTTTCGCTTCAAGTAGCCTTTGGGTTTTGCCATACATTTTAGTGGCAATAAAGTCAAAGGATTCAATTACAATCCTAATTTTAATTGACTCCCAAACAATGTCTGAATTAACTCGAAATAATTGCTGTTCCAACTAATTTGCCTGGAGCACCATCATTTGCTTAACTTAGTCGGCCAATAAGGGATTACGAGTTTATAACCTAATCAGACATAAAACGAGCCAACTAATCTTCGGGAGGCACTTTCACTCTGATTGGACTTTAATCAGATTTTAATAGTTCGTTTGCCGGCGATAATCTCACTCACTCTAAACTGATAAACTCTCGAACACGAGGTCATAAATTTTTGAGCTCGCCGTCAGGAAATCGAGTTAACGTGATGCGTTTGAACCAAAAAAGGTTGTGGTTCCATTGGCTTTTGGTTGCGTCGCTCAATTTGCATCGCCGATGAGGATGATGAGAGCTTTCTGGGGCATTTTTGGTCTGAAAAGTAAATACGATTGTGATTATGATGTGTCCCAGTCCCGGCCGCGTCATGTGTGGCTTTGTGTGGTGTTGATGCGATTATAGCCAGTGGCTTGAATGGAGTACGATATTAGCAGCCATTACCACGGATATCGATGGCGCTGGGCCATTAGCAAATGGCAGGACTATGCGTTCGCCGTTCCCTCCAACATTTCTTTGGCAAAGTAATGACCCAAAAAGTCTAAATTCCTGGCTTGGATGCAGGCTCACACAGAGCCAGCCCCCCCTAGATGTAGTCAACATCGCACACATCTATTTGTGAGCATACATTTACCCTAATGCCAGGCCCGAGGGCTGGCTGTGCCTCCCCTGGCTTCGAGCCAAAAAAAAAAATGCTATTCCCAGCAGGAAAAATAAGGATACGCAGCAACAGTGTACCAGTCTCCCAGCCTGCCCTCCTTCTTCATGCCTGTTTGCTCTTCGCCAATATTCAAAAACTGATTTTCATATGTCTTTTAAGTTTATTTGCGAGCGGGCAGATTGTGGGTAGAACCAGCCCACAGTTCACAGTCCACAGCCTGAAAGCCCACCAGCCCCCAGCCCTGAGTCTCTTACCATTTCTGTATCTGTTTTGGCATCGCCAGCGGTGGCTCTTATCGTATCCGGCACACGCATAAAAGTTGGCCGAGTGTTTGCAAATTTTTTTTTCCTTCTGCTCGTCGCTCGTTTTTAACTTTTTTTATTGGGGACCGAATTTAATTCGCAGAGGAAACAGACACACACACGAGTCAGGCTTCTCGGCAAGTTCTTCCGTTTTTTTGCTCACCATATATATAGTACTTTGCAAAGCGATTTCAAATGCAAATTTTATTGAAACAAGAAGTGAGCCAGAAGAGAGCCTCTGTAAGGCAGTGTGGTGTGTGTACCGAGATGAAGATTAAAATCAATTCAATTTGCTGCAAGCCAAGTAAAAGTGGTAATAATTTTTGGTTCTTTGTTTTGCCATTGCCTATAGACACTGGGGAAATGTTCTCTCCTGGTCGTCTTTTACTTAACATAATGAGATTTTGAGTGAGTACGTTTATGCGAAGGGGAATTCCGAATAGAATTAGCCTTAGGCGGAGAATTTGTATTTAGAAGAATATGTTTCGAAGGCAGTTATGTCCTGATGGCAGCTGCCTGGCTATTAATTGACCCATTTCCTGGCGCAGGCTCGCTTTAGGCTTCAGCTGTCAATATATCACACGTTATGCACCATTAAGTGCGCTCTTAATAGGCGGCAATTTATCAACCGGCAGCTCCTCCTCCTTCTGATGTCCTGCCAAATGTTAAGGAAAAATATGCCAGGAGACAGGATGAGCTGCTGCTGCGCACCGACGCGTTTGTCATAATAAAAGTTACTTAAAAATTGCACTGAAAATATCTCTTGGAGCATAAATCAATGTCTTGCCAGGTACAACATGGCGTATACGTGATTTATGCCCTGACCGATGGCCAGTCGTTTTTTCTCTCTCTCGCCTGAGGTCTATGGTTTTAGTCAATGAAGCTCATAATTAGCTCATGGCTGGCCACAGGCCGTATAGGGCATGGGAAAATCGCGCATACGCACCGTGTCCGCTGGCCATTGGCCATGGGCCATGGACTATGGGATAATTTGTCCCACGCAAACACGGCAGCAACCTTTGCTAGTGGTGGTGGTGGCTCCTTGAGGAATTAGCCGTGCAACTCGTAAATTAACAAACTTATGTCAACTCCCGGGCACACAGGCCTGATAAACACCGACTCTGGTCGGTTGTGTTGATCTTTGTGCCCGTTTGGCTTGTAAGTCTTTATGTATATAATGCGGTGTGTGTGTGCCGCTTCTATTTGCTTAGGCAAAGTGCTACGGATAGCAGGTGCTGGCTGCATAGAGCCGGGCTGCTGCATGTGCACTTGCCACACAGTTCCCAACAGGCTGTCGCTGTTGCTGTCGCTGTCGGTGGCAGTGGTACAATTTATTGCTCCAGCTTCGACTGCCTCTGGGCAATCAAATAACAAAATGGTTGCGCTGCGCTTTGACATTTAATTGCGTCGTTCGCGGCATGTTTATGAAATATTTTTGTGCCACTTGTCATGGTGTGCCACGAGGCATGAGGCATGAGGCGGGCAAGGCTCTTTCCCTCTATTCCTATATTTTTTTCCGCTCCAGCTCATGTGCTTCCGATTTTAATAAACGACAGACCTCGTCGACGCTTGTTCGATTCCCCATTTGGTCCTGGGAGAAACACCCAACCAGAAACGCCTTTTTTTTAGTTTTGCTTTTTAATTTGCTGAGTGCCCGAGAAGGAGAAACATTTGAAATGGTTTTAATACACTTATTAAATGCAAAAATCTAAAAATGGAATCTTTTTTTATGATGATGCCCCGATGATGATGCAATCGATCTGAACCGAGGACGAGCGTGCCCCACTTTCCAACTCCTCGCAGCAACAGTTGCATTTCCAGCACTCTCTGGCTTCTTGTCTTTATCTATCTCCGGATATATGTCCTCCTCGGGGTTGTAGCTATACGAGTAGCACTTTTCCACTTTGTTCTGCAAGAGGCACACGAAGCTTTTCTCCGCATCTGCCTCGACGTCATACTCCGGCTTTTGGCCCGGGCGTGGCTTGTTAATTCTGCAGGCCAGGAATAGCATCTGTAGGACGAATCTAACATTCCTGCCGCCCAGAAAATAGTTGGACGCCATATTGGTGATCTGGGCAATCAGGTCCGTGGAGAGAGGCTTATCCTCGTTGAAACCCTCCATCTGTCTGATTATCGTCTTGATGCCAGCCACCAAGGCGATATCGTACAGATCTGCTCTGGAAATCAGTGGAATGCACATTTCCACTTGATGGGCTTCTTGGCCAGAGACAGAGACAAGACCAATAACAAAGACTAAAATTATGCATTTCTAGAGAGAAGAGTTTGATGAAAATATGTAAAGTTTAGAAGTGATTTCTTACCATGGCTTTAATAAGTGAGATTCCAACCATAAATAAGACTTTTCTTTCATGAGATTATTTCTTCACCCAATTGAAAGCTAATCACCCAGAAAATTGAATTTTAACTGCTTTGAGTTGGAAATCAGGCGTATTAAGGAAAAAAAATTCCATTTATAGAAAACATTGGCATTTAATATTTCTATTGGCGTAATCAAGTTGTGTTGGCTGGCATAGACCTTGAAAACTTGGCCAAAACCAAATATTCATTAACGCAAAACAAAAGCCATTAATGAAAACAGAATGTGTTCGGCCAGCCAGGCCAGCTATCCCACCTCATAAATGGTGATTTTTGAATACAATTTCGGATGAAGTATCCAGAGGGGTAGAGTGCAGTGGCGTACGCCTGATTTTCAATGAAATTCCTCTCAGTGTTCAGTGTTCGTTGTTGGTTTTTCCGCAAAAATAAAATTAAGAAATTGGCGGTCGGCGAGAGGGCTCTTCGTTTGTTTATTTGTGTATTTGTTTACTTAAGGCGGCTGGCAAATATTCAGACACTTAAATCGCTGTGATCTATGGTATATGATGCATATTTGCATTTTCATTTGATTTAGATTTCGAATTTATTTACGACACTTCAACGGCATCAGCAACGGCAATGCCAGCGGTGCAGAGCGATGATCTTTTTTTGTGCCATCATTTCATTCAGTGTTGAAATGTGTCGCGTAAATTCCTCGGATTTAATATAAACAACAGCATATTTCACTGTTTCGGCCTTTGGCTGGCAATTAATGAATTTATGTTGGCGGTTTATTAGATTAGAGAACTACAATTTTGTTCAATTAATTTATGGTTTGTCTTTAAAGCTTATAGTTCTGGTCGGGCTTATGTTGTCTTGTCTCGGGTTGTCTCTGAGAAGGAGTTTGCCGGTAAATTCAATTTCTTGTTCAAGCTCCACTTGTGTTCGCAATATTCCATTTTCCATTTCCCATTTCAGCAATTTCGTTTTGCCGCATTATTTACTTCCTTTCCGTCACATCCTTCCACTGATCCCAGCAACATGCGGTTGGCAATTGCTCCAGTTTTTATGGCAACACAAGAGCGGCGTTTATGGCCAAGAGCTATCAAATACGTCGGTGGTCGTTGCTCGATGGTTAGCCTGGTTGGAGGAAGAAGGGGGTTCACTGTTGCTGCTGGGAAAACGGGGAAAAACTTTCGCCGCAACAATGTTTCCTTCTCATCCACTTACGCATATTTCTATTTGCACTGCCGGAATAGAAAACAAACAGCTAAACGTCGCACCGAGTCTCCTCGGACTGGGATCCAATCCGAGCCTTCAATGGGAAACTTACATAACCACTGGCATGATGATGATGGCCAGTGGCTCTACTCCTGATCAGCTAAAGTTCAATGGCTCCATGGCAACGACGCACATTCCGAAAGTGATTTCGTTTTCGTTTTCGATTTCGTTCGATTTGTTGCCTTGCATCAGAAGTAGGAAAAATGGATGCAACAGAAACAGATACTGCGACTCGCAACTTGCAACTTGCAGCTCGACCGGCAAACAAGTTCAATTGGTGAAAACCACTTTTGGCTGGTCGGATGGTTGCTTTATTTCCTGGGCCATGGCAACACTATGGGAAAACTTGATTTTCCAGCTGTTGGGGCAAGCGGAAAACGCATTGCATTCCCAAAGCGAACCAGAGCGACTGTATGAGTTTCCCAGAGCTGTCTTCGTCGCATGTTGCTCTAATTGCATGACAAACTCTACCAACTTTCACACACTTTTGGCATTATCGCAGTTGGTATAACTGCAGACGCTTTTGGCCAGGCTCTTGCCTTCCAGATTAAAAGACTGGCGCTGCCAGGCAAGGCCATAAGTGTCACATATTTAGATGAAAAGTGAAATTTTTGCGCTGCGGAAATGGTTGAGAGTCAATGCAAGTGCTTAAGTATAAACATCCGAGAAATCTCATCTGGTTTTCTGGTAGCTTAGAATTCGGCAATTAGTGAATATTTCAAAGCCACACAAAACACAAGCCAGAGACCCAAGCTGAGGACATTTTAATGTAATTAAATTTAAACGCATCCCCTAATGATTCCGGATGTGGATGTGGACGAGTGTAGATGTCTGTGCATCCCATAAATGTGCCAGAACAACAATAGAGAACGTAGAAGGCACAGGAATGCCACTGACAGGCAAATCTAATAAGCATAATGAATGAATTCCGAAGAGAAGTGAGGCGGCGGCAACTCAGTTTTCTGTTTTCACTCAACGCGTTGAACTTGTGCTGTCACCTGTGAAGGCAATGAGATGAAGCACCCACCTCTCCTATCTAATTCTATGGTTTTTTTTTTGTTGTCTACTCCCATGGCCAGTGGCATGTGGCAAATGTCTTGCAATCCACACCCAGGCCATGTAAATAGACCAGACAGTACCGAACCAGAAACAGAAACAGAACCAGAACCAGAGCCTGCTGCTGTCGTTTGCTGTTTTGTTTAATTAATTTCTATATTAGATACACTTCATTAAAAATACCCAGGACAGATGGATGTATTTGTGCCATTGTTGTGGGCCAGATAGGCCAGGCCAGACCACACCAGACCAGGCTATTCTCGTCTGTTCTTGGCTATTGAAAGGAATTCGGTGATTGAGAAGCACAAATGTGTCTCGAATGCTATGCACAGAGGAGATGGTGGCCAAAATCACAGCCTAATGGCTTGTAAGAGATCTATAGCTTGAATAATTCAAAGTCCCAGGCCTAGAACACTTTAGTCTTTCAACCATTTGCACCTGTCGTCCTGTAGCCTTTCATCTCCAGGTTGGCAGTACCAGCAATTAACGCACAGGTAGTGCCAGTGGCAATGGCAGGAGGTGGAGGTGGGAATTGGGTCAAGTAGAACTCGGCAAAGTGCCGTTTTGAAGTTCGGGGGCCATGCATTTAGACGTTAGACGTCGACACGGCATAATGAAATGCATTTCAGTCTCCTCATTAGGCATGCCATTTTGAGATTCCGTCCTGACTCGCAAATGCCCTCCCAATAGAAGTCCTGCAAACTGACTTTAATTGGCCGAACGATGTCATTAATTGAGTCAATCGAAAGGAGTTTAAGTATTAAGGCCAGCACGCTCCACTTCTTTCCAGCTAATTTTGGCATACAATTAAAGAGTACTTGCATTTTTTGTTAGTGGCCCGCTTGCCACTTAATGCAACTTTGATGTTTTTTGTGGTTCTGCAACAAAAAACACCAAGAACACTAAAAAAAAGACTAGCAAGTTTCACCTGCTGCGGATTTTCGGAAGCAGAAGCAACAAAAAACGAGTAAATAAAAACTTTTGCGGTTAAAGTTTTTCCGCCTTTGTTTGGGTTGTGCTTTTAGCAAATGCAACCTCTCCGTGCAACACCTCGCCCCTCACACCCTCCTCCCGGCGCCATAACCCCTTCAGAAATGGACTTCTCATTCGTGTGGCATTTTTTGGCACTTGCCACAATGGCCACGTTCCGCTCTCACACTCGCAGACACTGCCACATTCCGTGGCCCCGTGCCTGCTCCTGGCTCCGCGTGCCTTGTGGCGCTCGTGGCACGGCATTCTGGGAGGCCACTCTTCCATGCTACTGCCACGGCTTTTTGGCAGCAGAAACTTTGCTTTGTCATGTGCCATATTTCTTTCTTGCCCCGGCAACTGTGCTGCTGCTGCGGTGACAAAGTATCTTTTGTTTAAGAACTGCAAATGTGGCATATCCATTGCAGAAGAAAGAAAAAATCTCCTTCTTTTATTCAATAAATGTCTTGCCAAATTAGCTTTTGATTCTATCATACATGACATACAACCTATTTATTACTGAAAAGTGTGACCAATATCATAACATAACCAATCTAGTGTTAGGTCTAATTAACTCCAACTGGTCATCCTAATCAGTGTTGTAAAATAGGGGCTGCCACTGACCCCTAACAGGGCTGTGTCTCTATAAGTGTGACCTCTCCCTTGCCAAGTAGGCTGTGTAGATCCTAAAATCGAACCCCAAATCATAGCAGGCGCTGACAAATTTCATTTTGAGGAGCTCCAGATTTCTAGCCCTAAAATTCATTCGTCTGGTAGACGTCTTACCGTAAAGTACACCTCAGTATACATCAACCACAAATATTCAAATAAAAAAAAAAAAAACCAAAAAAAAAAGTTTTATTTTCAAAACCCGAAAAACAGTTCCGCGTTTGTGTTAAAGTGTTCTTGAAAATTTTTCGTTGCTTTATTAATTCGTTGTGTGATCGCGTTTCGGTTCGTTTGTGAGTTTTAGTTTTTCAGTTTGCAGACCTAACCTACCTGGTGAAGAAACTCCTTGAAGACGAAGCACCATGAATAACTTGAATGCAAATGCCAATGCGTTCTTGTGGCAGGCCACCGCCCCGCAGCAAACGCTGCCGCCGCAAACGGTCCAGCCGCCGCAGTCGGTGCAGCAGCAGCAGGCCCAGTTGTTGCACGGCACCGTGGTGTCGCAGCCCCGCAAGTTCGGCGGCAATAAGAGCAACTATAACTACGTCCAGACCCAGGCTGGGCCCATGATGGGTGCTGCTAGTCCCGGCGGCGGTCCGATGGGCGCTATTGGGGGCAACCCGAACGTTTATCGCAAGCGCCAGCCCATTAACGCTTACAATGCCGGCTGCTATCAATCTAATGGTAAGCGCTGCTCCGAAGAGGCCAAGGAGGTCCAGAAAGTCCCGACTTTCTTCTGGAACTTTCTCGGGCCATTTTTTTTTCTGCACAGTCATTGTGCAAGTCATGGCTGTCAAAAATTTTCAGTGAAAATTTTTTTATTCATTGACATTTGGCAATTGTTAAGTGAACTCTTTTTACTAATTTGGTTATAATGCATCTTGCTTTTAGCCAATTATTAAAGGAGTTAATGGTAAAAAGCAGCTATAAGTTCTTCTGTTCTTTTTTAAGAAAAGAAATTTGAAATTTTATTACCAAATGGTACTTGTGTACCATTTTGGTAATAATACAGCGTGCTTTTAGCCAAATATTTAACCAATTTAAGTGAAAAGCAGCTATAATACCCACCATTTAAGACAAATTTAAGACCAAAAGCAACTATTCTTCACTGATTTCTTGGCAGAACGTGCATTAATTTTTACTTTTCTATTCTATTTATTCAGCATTTCTTTTAGCCAATTAATAAGACAGTTAATCACATGTATTAAAGCTACAATATAAGACAAAAAGCAAGGCATTTTCAGTGCCTTTTTCTTGACAGAACTTAGATGAAAAAAAATAATTTTTTTTTGCAAGTCATCATGACATGTTCATATCATCTCTTACCAATTACCAATACCAATTACCCCTTACCCTATAGCCTCTTACCTCTTACCCCTTTACAACATTTGTCGCTAAACTCTGTTCAACACAGATGAATTATTCAATTGAATTGTACTACTCACTCACTGTTTGAATTATTATACCATATCTATATTATTATTAATTTATTTATTTTTTAGCCTTTTTTTAAGCAGCTCTTGTGCAAATCATTTAATTTGTTTATTTTCTCTTGTCTTTGTAGGTAAGTCGCTGTTTTCTATACCCGAAAATGTTGTTATGCTTGAGAGCCGTAAGTACATTTGAAACTAGAGCACATTTCAAATACACACACATACACACACTGAAACACTACACACACAAGCAAAGCAAACAAATACATATACACATACATCAACATTTACAGATCGAATCAATCATTCGTCCTGGAGGCCAAAAGTTGAGGGTTAAGCGGGAGTAGCACACAAGGGGGGCAGCAGGTCTCTGTGATGAAATGTAAACGGCGAAATTAATTTTCAATTGCTGGAAGGGCATTGCAGGGTGTAGTGCAAGTGGAGGGGCATATTTCAATTACAAAATAAAACAATGCATCTGCTGGAAAAAAGAAAAAAAATATGTAAAGATCAAAAGACGGGCCAGCCACCCGAAAACCTGCACCAGTTTGCATCTTCATGCGGAATTTATTCTCGGCCATCGGGCATCGGCCATTAATCAATATCGGACGTTGTTCCGTTCCGTTTTTGGATCGAATCGGTTCTCATTATTCCACTGCCAGAGTCCATAGTCCACCCGTAGTCGGGGGAAATGCAATTTACATTTTTTGTCTTGCATGAATTTTCAATTGCATTTTCTTCGGCGCTTTTCTTTTGTTTATATCGCGAGGCTCCATTAACATTTCTATAATGCTGCCATGCTCCCTGTCGTCCTCCAAGATTTTCACGTTTATTTCCCAACATTCTGGTTATTGCCAAGCCATTTGCATAATTTTCAATGCACGCAATTTTCATTCAAAATGTGTACTAAGGGCTGGATGGCCAAAGCAATAGAAATGTTTCTAAAAAGCTATGGATTTTCGAGGGTATTCTACATAGGTCTTTGGGCCAACCTGATGCCCAAGTCAATTATTATGGCTCATTTTCTTAATCGACCAACAACGCCCCCACCTACCCCCATATAGCCAGTGTCATAAAAATATGAATAATTTTCGGTTAGACACACTCGCCGGATCAAGAAGCCGAACAAATTTGCACCATAATTAAAATAAATGCTTTCAATGGCCAATAATTGCCAAATAAATTAATTTTAATTGCAAACAGCCGACGGCGGTTGCGGGTGGCAAGGCACAACTGGCTAAAAATACATTTCAAAAGTGTCTAAAATAAAGCGTTTGCAGAAGAGCATCGTTCTCTTAGCCATTTGGTGACTTGACTTGGTGCTCTCTATAAGCTTATTTTTAAATGTTCCGCCTTGGGGTCTGTCCAATACGAGCACTGCCACGCCCACTGCTCAGCATTTCTGCAGGTGGGAAGACGACGGGAAAAAAACACTTAAAAATACATAAAAATACCAAAAGAAAATGGGGGGTGGGTGGGTGTGGTGTGGGGCATGTGACATGTTTATGGTTGGCGTCGGTGCTTCCCCCTAAGATTGCTTTCCATGGGATCAGCGGGCAAGTCACTCGAAGATTTATGTGGGCGTTCATTAAACGCACATCCGTCCTGGCCGCCAATCACTTAGTTAATGTGGCAAGTACACACACATACACACGACTGTGCCACGGCATATTTGCATACTTATTCAAAATGGAAACCCCTGTTGGAAATTGGCATATGGGAATATCCTGCCATTGCGGCCGCGAAAGACAAACTTGACTTTTGTTTGTTTATCTTCATCCTGGCCAACTTCTGCCAGCTGCTGTTGTTGTCTCACAAAAATAATAATATGCCACAGAGAGCCCCCCTTTTTTTTCGTTGTGTATACACACACACATGGGGCATACACATAGTGGCTTAATTTTGTGGCATTATTGCCGTGAAGTGGTTGGCATTTTATTTGCCTTTGGGCCCCCGATTGTTGTGGCTTACTCAAGCTGATTGACAGCGCATTTCGTTTGCCTTTCTGTTTGCCTTGCTTTTTTGTCTCTCTGTTGGCAAATAATTATATTTGCTCAAGACCTAATGCAGTTCCTGTAGTTTTTGGCGTTAAATTAATGAAATTAACTTTCTCGCATAGACCTTTTCCTGGCCCTGTCAGGTCGTAAATCTTGTGGTTTTTTTTTCATCTTCCCACAATTTATTGTGGAATCCAATAACCAAATATTTCGTTGGGACAATCAACAGGAAAAAACAGCAGAAACCGGCAGGAAACATGTTCCAACAACCGCACATCCACAGGCCGCATGTCCAAAAATATATAAATTGTGCTTCTCGCACATTTATGGTAATTCAATAAAATTGAAAATGACAAATTGTGTCATGTTGCGGTCAGAGAGGATTGCCATAAAAGCATGTGCCCCCTCACTACCCAACAAAAAAAAAAAAAAGAGAACCCTTACTGCTGCCACAGGACGTTGCGAGGATAATTAAATCTATGTTGGGCATCAATAAAAGTTGCAAAATGGTTTTTTAAAGTCGCGATGCTACTGGTGCTGGTGTGCTTCGGCAGCTTGTCTCCCCTTTTGCCACATCAATCAATCAAAGACGATCAATCAAATTGTTGTCAACGGTGGCGGTGGCGCACGCAGCTAACGATGCTACTGCTTCTGCTACTGCTTCTGCTGCCTGTCGCTAGATGGCGTGTCGAACAAGAACAATGTCCCTGTCGTCGCATGGCTGAACTTTTGCACCACCACTGTGCTGGTTGTGCTGCCGCGCAACATCTGCCCACCCACTAACGAGCGCTAATGGACACACCAGAGTCCTGCTTCCGTTCGATGGGAACTACTATACTATACAGCCAAAAAGTATGTAGGTGGATGGGGGGAAAACTTTACTTCACTCCACGCAATATTGCGTCGATTATCTTCAATCAAAAGCTAGTGATTGATGACTGCGACGACTGGCTAGCCGGAGATACATATACATATATAGCCTGTTTTAAATTTCTTCCGCCTTAAGGCAGCAGCAGTTGGCAATCCTGCTTAATGCCAGCCATTCATCAGCGTCCTGTGGCATTATTGAAGGCTTTATTGTTTTGATTACTTTATTTGTTCCTCCAATTGAAGTGGCGGAAGTGGCGACTGACCATGTCACATACTAGCATTTGCATTTAAATTATGCCATAAAGCTAAACTGAGCTTGAAGTTTTATCCGCCAGTTCCTCGTGCTGTGAGCATTTGTTTAATTTATGCAGGACGATGGTAGCTGCTGCTTCACTTCGTAATAATTTATAATTAATTTAACAGCTGGGCGCCACCGCCACCACCACCAAAGCAAAACAAAAAATGAGGCAGCTTTTTGTCAGGCAGGCAGGACCTCTCCTATACTTTTGGTGTAATTTTCTAAAGCCATTAATTGGACATTTTGCTAATGCGTTTGCCACTTGCAGTTTTTGCCCCTCTATCCGTCTTTCTTTTTCGCTCAAACGAGTCGTGCAATTTTCCAAATTACAATATCTAAATTGTATCCCCCCAGCAGCTGCACAACGTACAACTGACTTTCATAGTTTTCCATACTTTTTTTTTTTTTGCCTTTATTGTAATATTTTTTATGACATTATCGATTTTCGCTTTTCCCCAGAGCGCTGATAAGTGAAGGGGCCCAGAAAAAGTCAGAAAAGTTTATCAAAGCTAACGAATTTGTTAGAAGCCCGTTGTGCTGCGCAATAAGTTTCAATATACTATATATTCAAAGACAGCAGCAGTTGGGGGAATAGTAGTTATATATAGTATGGAGGAATCATAAATATGCAGTATAAAACACAGGTCCATTAGCTAGAAAAACGTTCCAGAGTGTGGCATGCCAATACATCAACCACAACAAACAAGCCACTGGAAAGAGCTCCTTGAGCCTGGCTTATAGCGCATTGGTAGTAGCAGTGACCCCTTGAAATGTCACTGGCTTTTTTTATATTTTGTTCTCCTCTTGACCACCAAAACTGCAACCCGAAAAGGAGGATCTAAAAATTGAAGAGCCCGGCCAAGAAGCTCTCCGCTGACCAATAAGTGGGTGGATGAGTGGCTCTTTGGAGTGGGTGGTGTGACACTGATTGCACATGTGTGTGTGTTTGCATGCCATTAAAGCTAGCTCCTCCTCCCTCAAATGTTTACCAAAGCGATAATTAGGCAAGGCTGGAGCTGGAGATGGGGGGACGGTGTTGGCCAAAAGCAGAGGCCAAACTAAAGGCCAAGCCGTGCCAATTTGTTAAGCACACACAATCGGCCGAAGACCCAGGCGGTCGTCCATTTGTTCTGTATGCTTGTGTGATTATGAATTATATTATAAATCCTCATACACACACAGTACCAGGCAAGCACCTACTATCGCTCCACACGGAACACAACTTAAATGCCATTTTGCGTTTCTAATTATGTTGTGTCGTAGTCCTTTGCTTATTTGTTCGCGTTGTCTGTCCTCCTGTGTCTGTGTTTGTTTGCCTTTTGGGGAGGAGGCAAGTCAACAATAACAACAAACAGCAATTACATGCGTTTATATTATTCAAATCCACCGTAAATGTAATTAAGCTCATGAGAGTTGAGCGCAAATTTATTTCATCGCTCCAAGGATGTCGTAAAAAAAAGGAGTCCATAGCAATCCTTTTTCCTCCCACTTTTGGTTGCTTCCTGCTTATCGGACTAATTTCTCGGCGAGATGGCCCAGGCCTGGCATTGCGTATCGCATATAAATTGGCTCATTGCCGTGGGTCCTTGCCATCGTCCTTCTTGATTTCGTTTTGATAGCCATTGGCATTTCCGCTGGCGCCACTTTCAGTTAAAGGCTTAAATCCCGGCCCAGAAACAAATGCCACTTTACTGATCTCCTGCAGTAGCAGCAGCAGCAGCTCTTCCCTCCTATCGGTGAAAGTTTCCAGTATTTTTTTTTTCATTTTCGGGGAACATTAAAAACCAATCAGGCGCATTGTCACATAATCAACCCGCAGCAGCAGCTCATCAGAATCTTTGGGAAAGCTTGCACAATCTTTTCACTATTATGGATATTTTTTTTTGTTTGTCCTTTTCTTTATAAGCTCTCCTTGTGGGGTTCATCGCAGCAGCAGCAGCAGTTTTACGCTATCGTGTCACACACAGGGACAGACAACAACTCTTTGCCAACATAATAGTTTTGCTTATGAAAACAAATTCAATTTCGAAGCTGCTTATGGGAATGTTTATGCAAGACGTGAGCACAACCTCGACGCGGAAACTGGAAGAAACAAGGCAGGAAGGAGGGGCTAGGTGGCTGGGATAAAATTAATGTCACATGACAGTGCGCAGAACTCTTCTAGGGTAGGGTAGGGGCATTTAGGGGCGTTTGGCCAGGGCGTGGCAGTCAACAAGCAAACTGATGCTGCTGTTGCATGACTCTTGGCATATTTTGCTGGAAAACTCGATGCTGCTCTCTGGGTACAGTTTCGCATCCAGCTTCGGGCTTCCAGCTTGCTGTGCAGCTCCCCCCCTAAAGTTGACTCTAACAAATTGAAAATCATTGAACCCCTCGCACAGGACGAGGAGCATGGGGATAGCTTAGATAAGGGAGAAGGAGTAGGAGAACAGCTGAGCGAGCTGAAAAATATTGTAGCATACATTTAAGCAAATTGCAATTAAGGTGAACGATCCACAAGGAGTGTTGGAGTAGTAGCAGGGGGCGAATAAATTTGTTTGTTTGCCTGCAATTACCCTGCTCATTGGACCAAGCCAACAACCAACTGTGGCAACTGTTGCTGACTCTCGTTCTCCTCCACGTCCTCCTCCTCGTCCTCGTACCAGTTCCCATTTTCAGTTCCATTCTGGCACAAAGTGTGCCAATACGCCACAAAGTATGCAACAATTTGCAGCATAAATACTTTGTGCACCGCACCACCCAAAACATCCAGCTGCCATCTCGGCCATATGCTGAATGTATGGGTAGGTGGCTTTCAGATGCGTGCTTTTATTTGTCTAGCTTTTGGTGCATAAACAACCCAAGCACCACCCAGCTCGTAGGGGGCTGAGTTTTAATGGATTTCTGCACCACAGACGTCAGCTTTGTGGTTTGGTGGTATAAATGTGTTCTTTGTTGCAGATACTTGCAATACTTTTTTCTTTTTTACTTGCCCCACTCTCGATAGGATACTGATGCAGCAAAGCTGAAATTCGTGCCACTATTACTAACTGTTTATTTGGTTTCGGTTCCTATTCTGTTAATTGCAAACCAACAAAGCACTTAATCGTGTCGTATACGTAATATGCAAATGATTGCGGTTCAGCGCCAACGAAGCCTGTTCAGAGCACACTCGCACACCGCACACTTGCCGCTTGGCGCTCCATAAAAACGAAACTAAACTCCAACTTCCGCCTACTGCCATCCAGCCATCCTGCCCTGCCCTGCCTTGTCGAACACATAATCTAAAATAATTTGTGCGCGTTGAAAATTTACACCTGCTCGGTTTTCCCGTCGACGCCTTGCGTGTGAAACATTTTCCAGCAATTGCATGCAACAATTCCCAAGATGCTTAAACATTTTAGGCACGCTTCCGACGACAAGGACGACGAGAGGACCCCAAACAGCCTCGGGGGCGTGTATTTCTTTTCTTTTCGGTTTCTCTGGCCAGGAAACTTGATTTTTCGGGGGAAGCTGTGAACCAGCAATTTTGCTTCACTGCGCCGCCATCACGCATACGCCCCGTTGCCTCACGGTCCAAACCCCATGCCCCTTCTTCAGCTGGCCTGTGAATTTCAATTAAAGGCCAAGCAGCAGGCGGTGGCCTACTTGAAATGAATAACTATGTTTGGTGCTTCAGGCCATGGCCAACAATGTTATTGACTGACTGCCAAGCTATCGCAGGCGCTTACTCGAACTTGGAAATATAGTCAGTGAGTGAGTGAGTGATTGAGGGTCCTGACACGCCCGCGGATTATTTACTTACGCGGCAAAAGTTGGTGAATTGAAACGTGCCCAGCCAAGTTTTTGCCCAAAAAGCCACTTTAAAATTTCCACGTAAATTCAAACGGATTAAGGGCTTGTGAAAAATTGCATCAATTTGTGTTGTTTGCACTCGACTCTCCTAAAAAAAAAAAGCGATGGTCAGGAGCAGCGGCCAGGAGCTCTAAACTAACAACCGACATAAAAATGCACGAATTTTTTTTTGTATTTAGTTTTGTTTTCTAACTTTCTGTAGAGACTGTCTATGTGTGTGGGGATTTTTATGCAAATATTTTGTCAGGTAGCCCCAAAGTCCAAAATAAACCACCCGTGACGAGGTGGCTGCTGCTACTGCTGGTGTTGTGGTGGTGCCAGCTGAACCGGCTAGGACGTGAAACTGGTGGTGATGCGCTGGGTGTTGCAACTAAATCAAATCAAAACAAAAACCGCTCTGAAATGGCAACTCGGGCAGCCATTTTGGCATAACAAACAGTGCCATGCAAATCGAGTTTTCAACGTGACGCTGTGGTGTTTCCCCCTCTCTGCCAACTCGAACTTTTCAAGTGATTAGGTTAAAGCGGTGTTTGGGTTAAACAAGGCCCAGAAACTTGCTTTCGCATGTGCCTGACACTTTTAAAGTTAATTAAATGCCTGCCAAGGCATACGGCCGCGACATTTTGGCAGTTTGTGGCAGTAGTTGACTTTAATTACAGTTCCCGGCTTGTCAGAGGTTCAGCTAGAGGTTCGTTTATTGTCGTCCTTTGGTCCTTTAAGGCCTCTCCCTTTTTTTTCGATGCAACCGCCATAAACCAAAACACAAAATGGAATATCCCAAAGCCCAACATCGCAGACCAATTTTTTCTTTTCCTCCGCCTGCCAAAAATTCAATTAACTTACATGCCAAACCACAGCCGGAATAAAGGGCCAACCACTGCCTAGCCCGCCAAAAACCACAGTCGGGGATAAATCCTAGTCGGGTCTGTGTAGTCCAGAATCGTGAGAGAGCTTTTGGGCCTCTTCGGGAATGATTTGATTATTAATTGTAATGCTTTCAACATGCAACAACAATACTAGTCTTAAGCATAATTTTGTATTATTTTTCTTTTATTGGCACAACTAAAAAAAATGTTTTCGTTTCTTTTGTTTCATTTTTGGTTTTATGCTTTGCTTTTGATTGTTGTTGCATGAATTAAAAAAAAAATAAAAAATATACACAAATGCAGTTCCTACACTGCCACATGCACCACCGACACACCTTCACCACCAACAACAACAACAACAAGCACTTCCACCTCAACATCAACATCACCAACAACATCATTTAGTTGCCCCAGCTCAATCGCACAATCTTTGTCAATTTAAAGAGCCACCGCTATTGGGACCAGGCGCCGCCTTCCCACCATTCGGAGCCCCCGAATACCATCCCACCACGCCGGAGAATTGGAAGGGTGCCGCTATCCATCCGACTGGCCTCATGAAGGAGCCCGCCGGAGTTGTTGCTGGACGCAATGCCCCCGTGGCCTTCACTCAGCAAGGACAGGCTCAGGTGAGTATCCCGAACGGAGGGAGGAAGTGGAGGAATTATAATTTATATTTGTTTGCGGGGATAATCAAGATATTGTCCTCTACCTTCTTGCTAGCAGCAGCAGCATTTTAATTAACTTTCATCTTTGGTCTCCTTTAGAACTCTGTCATGATGGTCTATGGACTGGACCACGATACTTCCAACACGGACAAGCTCTTCAATTTGGTGTGCCTGTATGGCAACGTGGCAAGGGTAAGTTTTAATGTTTAATTTTTCATAAATGTTAAGGAGTTGGGGAAACGCCTCTTAATAAATCACTGAAGATTAGGTTTTTTTTAGTCATAATTTAAAGCCAGAAAGTTCTTTCTCTGAAGCCCCCCTTTCCCAAAAACCCTTTTTTTCAAGTTCTGCCTCCACTTGCACTTAGCCAGAAAGCCAGAAAAAGAAATACGCATTTCATTGCCGCCGTTTTGCTTGGTCGTCAGCACTTTGCGACCAAAATCGGCTAAGATGAAGGCTGTTGGGGGGAAAAAGGTGTTTTTGACTGGAAAAGCCAACCGCAAGGAGAGTCAGAGCCCAAGCACTTTGTGTATGTGGGCCATTTGTAAATGTGCAAATAAAACGAGTGGCAATAAAAGGACGAGGCCAGGAGGACAGTGCGCCCTAGTGTGTAGGCGTCTGTAGGCCAGTTGGATCGGCAAAAACACATTTAGATAAAGCGTTTTAGATTAATATCCCCACAACCATATAGCAGCATGTCCTTCCTTTTGGAGCAGCAATCAATGCAGCGTCATCAGCTCTATAGTCCTATGGGGAGGAAGGGCTGAAGCCTTGGGGGTAGAAGGATGGGTTATATAGCCCCCATATACTTTTTTTTTCTGACAAAACGATTGGCAGTCGCTTGTAAATCAAAACACGATGACGACCAGAAAAGAAATCCATTAAAAAAACGCTTTGCCGAATAACAATTCGAAATGTGCTCATTGTTAGTCGGCCAGCGAAAGGGAAAAAATACGCTTGGGGAGCATTTAGTGCAGCCACCAAGGAGACCATAGCCTTTGCTATCTGAACAAACACCACCCACCCACCCATCAAGTTAACCCACCGAACAATAAGCTGGTTCGGTTGCCCCACCAACATCAAAGTCGAATGCTAAAAACTTCTTTGGCGTGTGCCAGAGCTTTCACTTTATTGCTACTATGAATTCCCGCCCCTCCTCATGTGGGTGTGTGTGTGTGTGGTTTGTCCTTTGACAATTGCGCCCGCCAAGGACATTGCCGAAGGAGCGGAGCACCATACCATCAACTCACTTCCCCCTGACATGTTTTGTTTAGTTTATGTCTGTGATAAAGCGAGTCAAGGCAACCACAGGACGAGGAACCACTTTCACTGCACACTGAAGTGGCAGGAAGCTAAAGGTTATTCAGTGCCACAAAGGAGTTATATGCTTAAGGATATCCCACATGAATCCTTATTGCTTTGATAGAGAATCTGGGTTAGAATTTAAAACTTTACCATTACTAGTTACTATTTTATCCAATTATTTAAGTGACCTTTGGCCACTAACCACAATTCCCATTTTCTGGCACGATAATTCAAGGCGCGGCGCCTGGCTCCTGGCTCTGACACTTGCAATTTGCAAGAGGAGAGAAGTGGGGGGAGGGGGATAAGCTTTTAGGGGCGTGGGATGACCATAGGGCGGGATTTATTGCCGACTTCCTGTCCGAGAAGGAAACTACTCATTAGCCATTAAAAATGATTATGCGCAAACATTATTCACTGGCCGGCTAAGCCACAAACATACATTTTTCCCACCCATTTCTCTCTAGCCTTGGTTCTGCCACTTTTTCCCACTTTCTCACACTCTTTCTCTACTTTTTTTATTCCAATTTTCCTTTTTTTTTTTTTTTTTTTGAAACCCCCATCACATCTCTTTCGGTTCGTTGAGCCTGTCGCTATGCAACCGAGTTCACGGGATGAAAAGCCAGGACTATTGCCTCATTATAAAGTCCTGTATGTGTGAGAGTGTGTATTTTATGTGGGTGTGTTTGTTTGTTTGGCCACGACTCTCTCTTTCTGTGTGTGTGGGGGTGTGTGTGCACATCAGTTTATGGGCCGACATGTTTGAATTGCGAATGAGAAATTGATGGCCACTCAATCAAAGTGCCGTTGCATGGAACGACAGAGAGAGAGTCCTTTGCCAGGCATCCCATCCAGCCTCTTGGTGCTAATGGGATTCCCATGGGGAAACCATTTCCAGTATCCTCTCGTGTCTTCTGTAAATTATGGATAAACAGGCAGCATTCTACCCCGGATTGGATTTCAATAAGACAGCCCCCTAATAGGGTTTGGCATAAACAGTCGCCCTTTCATATTGCCAATTTGATTAACCTGTCGAAAAATGTGTATTAGGTGGCAAATTTCAAGCCATGTCAAAACTGGCTAAAAACGAAACCTGTCAAAACATATCCGGCCTCGTAGACCCTTGCAACATTAGGCTGGGAAGTTTGATGGAATTTTGTGATTCCTAGTAGAAGCTCTCTCTGGGTTTCCTTCCGGAAAACGTGGCAATCTGGTTAATTATTTTCAGGACCTTCGAGGCCGGGGCGATGAAGTCATCAGCAAATTGATTTTCAGGTTAAATGGCATGACAAAAATGGGGCAGAAATTAGGACTCTTCGACAAGCTGCTGACAGGGCAAAAGTTACTCAACAGCGAGAGTGGTGTGGCGCAGGGGTGGAGTGTCTTTAAAGGCCAACAAAACACACGCACTCAATTAAATAAGCATTAAAAAAACATTTGGATACAATATGGGATACGGAAATTGACTACGGAAGAGAGGGGGGTGGTAGGGAGGAGTAGAGGAATGAGGGTGGCAGGACATTGGGGAGCATAGGTCAGCCAGCCATTGCCTTTGCCGCCTTTGCGCTGCGCGTGAGCAATTAAATCAAATGGCAGAGCAGACACCATGCCACATTGCACAACAAAGCTCGAACATTGTGAAGGGTCGCATTTTAATTAACGCCCCACCGTACGCATGGTAGTGGTGGCTCTGCTGGAAGAATTGGTAGAACAGAGCATGGCACAGCTCATTAGACACGCACCGAATGTTTGCCGCCACTGTGGCTGCGGCTGTTGACCAGCAGTGACCATCCAACCATGAAGAGCTCTTTGATTTTCCCCAGTGCAAAAAATACCATCCTTCCCTGTCCTGCTTGTCCTGGCCGTTGGGGACTGACTGGTGGTTCTATTTCAAGTGTGTTTGGGTGGGTTCATCCTTATGTTTGCATGTTTGTTATTTCATTATCCTTTTGTTTCTGCTTGGATTTCAAAGGTCTATCTGGCCGCTTTCTGCTTCACTGATTTATGGTCTATATTTATTTTTATACATTGTTTTATTTTTATGATTCGTTTCGTTACGTTTCGTGTTTTGTTTCGTTTTGGTTTCGATACCGATAAGCCTCATTTAGTTTTTATTTACTTTTTGGCCAGCGCCCATATTTCCCATCCAAAACCATCCGCAACTCACACCATTCATACTCCATTCAGGCGTATTCATTTTGATTGCGACCCACTTTAGACACACTCCATAAGCTCCACTATATATACATATAGAATATATGGATGGATTATGGATATGTCTGGGGATTGAAGCGGGGCTTGGTGTAATTATAAGCAAATTGTTTGCTCCATTTACAGCCTGTCCTTTGTTTGCCAGTTCATTACAAGAACACTGACAATATTTAATAATTAAATCGTTTATTAAACAAGGTCATCCAAGCTGTTTAAAAAGTATCTACTAAATGCCAAGCTCACAGAGCACTATACTGTGCGTGCAAAAAAGTAAAACGCCGACATCAATACGCCAAATTAAGGCATTTTGAAAAACGAAATTGCAGCGACGGTCCCCCAATTTGGACAGGTGCTCTGTCAGTGTGTTTTTCTGTATTTTTCGTTGGCCAACCATGCTGCGCTCGCTGCTGTTGCTGGTCAATTGCGAAAACTCGTTTCGGATTGAAAACCCCTGTGGCAGCATACAGTCTCTGCCCCTCCGCCCTCTTTCTATTGAGTTCAATGCCTTGCAGCGGCCAGCAAATTGATTTGAAAATGCAGCAACTAACTAACCAACCAACCAACTAGCCAACCCAGCCAACCCAGCCAAGCCAAGCCATGCGAGTCTATGAACGGAGGAGGAATTATCCCATTGATTTTTCACTTTCTCTACTGCTTTCTGGGTTTTTGTTTTGTAATTATTGTTTGGCAAATTATTATGGTCAATTATTTTTATAACTTCCAAGCCAACCACCCAACCAGCCATCCAGCAGCTAGCAAGCATAGCGAATTGCAAAACTTTTCATAAAAAACTTTGCCATTTCAGCAATATTTTGGGAATCTTTGTTAGAAAAGTGTCAAATGACATATCGAATATTTGTCAAGTTCAAATTCCAAAGCAATGATAATATTTTCAGCCATTTTTGGCAATCAGGCACGTACGCCGCTGACTTTGATGACCCAATAAGGGCCAAGAGGGTGAGAGGGCCAAAAAATAAAAAGCATAACAATTGTATAGAGGGAAAGATATCCAAACCAACAAACACACACACGGCACACACACGCATTGAATGGAGAATTAAGGACGCCATTCTGTTATATAATTGCGTTTGAAGGAAAATTTTAAAATTGAATTCAATGAAAGTGTGGGACTCTACGGTTACGCCCTACTGGCAGCTGGCTGGTTGGGTTGAAAGCAAGATGACAGCAACAAGAGAATTCAATCAAGCAGGCACCCCTGGGCGGGCAGGGGTCATCCGGGTAGCAACCAGTTTAAGGACATAGTGCGAGCCTGATGGAGCATATAATTTAATTGCGATTGAGGTGGGGTCTTGGCAGTTGACAAACTTGATTTAATGGCGTTTTTGGGGCAGGATATGGTGCAGGTGATGATAAACAGACCTTTAATCCTTTACCTTTTTTCTTGTTCTTTGCAGATCAAGTTCTTGAAGACCAAAGAGGGCACCGCCATGGTGCAAATGGGAGATTCGGTGGCCGTTGAGCGTTGCGTTCAACACTTGAACAACATTCCAGTAGGCACTGGTGGCAAAATTCAGATCGCTTTCTCCAAGCAGAACTTCCTATCAGAGGTCATCAATCCGTACTTGCTGCCCGATCATTCGCCCAGCTTCAAGGAGTACACCGGCTCCAAGAACAACCGTTTCCTATCGCCAGCTCAGGCTAGCAAGAATCGCATCCAACCACCGAGCAAGGTAACTTTAATTACATTTTTTATTATTTTTTCTTGTGCTAATGGGTTGGTTTTTTTATTTTCATAGATTTTGCACTTCTTCAACACACCGCCCGGCTTGACCGAGGACCAACTGATTGGCATCTTTAACATTAAGGAGGTCCCGGCTACATCGGTGCGCCTCTTCCCATTGAAGACCGAGCGTTCATCGTCGGGACTGATCGAGTTCCCCAACATTTCGCAGGCAGTGTTGGCAATAATGAAATGCAACCACCTGCCGATTGAGGGTAAAGGTGAGATAGTGTTGTGTTTAAGTGTTATTCAAAAGAAAAAAGAATTCAAGATATATATGTGGCCACTTCCCAAAAAAAAAAGAAACCAAACCCTCAAAAAAAAACACCAAATTTTCTCTCGCTCATCAAAAACCTTCAGAACACACGCCCTAATAAGTAGGCAACATAAATTTCATTCTTCACCCAGAAAATTCTCCCTGCTGTTTGGCAGCAAAAGTTTGGCAGCTATTTTGCCTGGCCTTTTGACTTTTGCTGTTGTGCAGTAGCAGCAGCAGCCGCACATCAAATTCACACCACCCAAGTCCATTCACCCACCCACCCAGCAGCCAACCACTCAAACCACCCACCCTACCACCTACCCCTTTCGCAGTGCAAACTTTAACCTTTCATGTTTCTTGGGCTGTTTTTTTGGCCAGCAAACTTTCTAGTTGCGTTGCTTTGGTGCCTGCGTTGAAAATTTTAATTTGGTAATTAAGATAAACAATTTCAGTTTGCAGTTATTCATAAATGGGTCGCCAGAAGCCCTTCTACAATTAGTCTACCAACTCGGAACTCGCAGCTCGGTTACAAATGGGTTGACGACCGATAAAAACTTTTCGCATAAATATTTCAAAAGCCCTGGAGTCCTATACTCATTTTTATGCCCTTGTTTACATGGGTAATATTAATTTGACATCGTTTCGCGGGCAGCTTGATTCTTGAACCTTCTTGACATTGACACGCCTCCAAGACTGTAGTATACTAGTTGTTTACGATTGAGAGGAAAAGTGGCCAACAAAGCCCATGCATTAATTGTCATATGTATAGGCTAGATTTGATGCGAAGAAGGATGCTCTGTCGAGTGCATGGTAAATAGTAATTAAAAGTGCAAAGTATGCAAACACTCTGGCACATTTGTGCCAGTGCGAATGAAAATGCAAATGCAAATGCGAATGCAAATCGCAAATATGCTGCCGGCAATGCTATGGCCTTTCCTCACCCTCACCCAATCGGGTTACAAATTTCATATTTGTGCTCTTGAAAATAAAATTATACACACATAGTTGGCATTCAATAGAAGTAGTCAAGCCTTTGGGCCTTAATTGCATTGATTTAAGTTGAAAACCATCCTATCCTGATCCAAATCATTCAATCATCTCCCAGCCAATTGGCTTACAATTGAAGACGACGACAATGACTCTCTTCCAAGCAAAATCAATAAAACTAAATTCAAGAATATACAACACTTATACACTATACTACACCCTAACTATTTATATTGAAAGTATATAAAAAAAACACCATTTAATTCTATATATATTTTATGCAATTTTTCTGTTTCTTCCTTTCTCTCAATGATGCAGGCACCAAGTTCCCATTCATCATGAAGCTGTGCTTCTCGTCCTCGAAGAGCATGAACGGTGCCTGGAACAATGCGACCAGCGAGGGCATGATCGAGAAGGAGAACGAAGTCGAGCAGAAGGTGGAGATTTACAATTGAGATTTGATCACGATTGTGTAAGTGCAATCGACCCCCAGCTTACACACCACACAACACAACAACGCAACAAAGCAACACCGGAACACCGCAACACCGCCACACCGCAACACAACAACACCTGGCAATATAATAAACAGCATATAATAGGGAAAAGACAGCCTACAGGAACTGCAAGTAGATGACCGTGCAACATTAAACACTGAAGCAGATCTACGGCAAACCACCAATCAACAATCAACAAAATCAAGAAACACAACATGATTGCTTACACATTCGAAATTGAGAAAAGAAAAAAACCAGAAACAAAATATCTATACGCAAGAATAATGAAAGGAGAAGAAATGCTGCGGCAAAATACTGATGAACTTCAACAAGATACTTGAATTGATTGCAAAATTCACTTACAAATCAACAATTACAATTCATACAATTCAAACCACAGGGGTTATATATGTAAAACAAACTATATCGCAAACGCATGTAAACTTTTCTACGAGCCATTTTGCATAGATTTACTGAATTCACAATTAATCAATTCAGATAATTAGTATGACAGCCTATGTACGATATATGGCCTCGTTTAAAAGCCACACAGGATTAACACTTGACTTGCACATAACATAACATTACATGCGTTTGCGTGGCAACAACAAGAAGAAAATATACGAAATTAATAAAAATAAAATAAAATTGTTATTGTTACAATGGAAGATTAGGACTTTCTCACACAACAACAAGAAAACATCGGATAGAATTCCAACCAATTGTAAACTATGTAATGTTTAATTGATACAAAACAAACATTAAACCAAAAAAATAAATAAAAATATAAAAAAAATAATGAAATGATTGTAACTTTAAACTGAACCTAAAAAAGAAATGTTAAAAGGAAGTAATGACTTACCTGCCTTTGTTCGAACTCCCCAAAACCCCATTTAAAATATAAACCCTATTCCTTTTCTGATCCCCAACCTCCCCTACCCTCGGCAGACTTCTGTATAGTTAATGTAATATGATTTGAATTCGGATACAAAAAATATATTAATGAAAAAAAGAAGGAAAATAAAGAAACATTTCTTTGGACAATATTTCGAAAAGTATTCGGGCGTGAGAAAAAGTCTTAACAAAAAACAAAAATATATTCAGAGGATAATGTTTGTGTACATTAAAACCAAAAATTTAGCAATTTTAAATGAAATTTATTAATTTTAGTTGGTTTTAAATTTTTTACTTTAAAATAAACGATATATTAATGAAATGGTAATAACGACTTGCACAAGCCAATGTTTTTACTATTAACAAAAAATCAGAAAAGACAAGACGATAAACATACTTTTTGTGCTTAATTTACAAAGTTTAAAAAAGGCATAAAATTATATGTATGAGCTGTATTTGTATTTACATTTAAATTAATTTTAATTTACACTAAATGTAAAAAGCAAGTAACTAAAAAACAAACAAAAACAAAACAAAATAATGCAAGCTAAGGCAGACAAAAGATTTAACATACATGATTTAGTTAAGGGAAATTCAGAAAATAAAAAAAACAAGCATCTAGTATAGTTCCGAAGGCATGCAGACAAAAACGGCATACATGAAACAAAAATAAAACATATTTTTGAGGCGTTTTAAAAATTAAAGAGAAGACAGAGCCAAACATTTCAGAACTCGAAGTGAAGTTAGCCAAGCAAAGCTACTACTAAAGATGGGTTATAGGGCGTATTGCAAATGCGGTTCAAAGTAGAAAAAAAAATAAATGGAAAGAATTAAAAATATCAGCAATAAAGCAACAGCAACAACACCATATCAAAGGCGTATGTTAGATTAACTATAATATAATAAAAACAAAACTTTAACATAAAAGATGCAAAAATAATATTGTAATATTATCATTGAGTTCGACTTTCGTTGTATAATTTTATGTTTAGAAACCCGATCAGGCGGCAGTTAGACACCCAAAGAAATCTGTGCTCATAACTGCCTTTCTACAGGGCATTGTTCTTTATACATATATATATATATATATTAATATCTAAAGATATATATATGACATTTGTTTTTAATGCAAATCAACGAATACACAAATACATAATGCTAGGGCCGCAAAACGAATTTTTTCACACTTCTCGTATCGTCGTAACGTTTGACTTCAACAAGTTAAGCCTCCATGTAGACCATTTCATAATTCATTTAACAATCGATGTGCAATTTGGGCTTTATAAACAAATTCTTAATTCTATTTTAATTTATTGCAATTCTCTTATTTCGATATCTAGTAATTATTTGTGTAATTATTTCAAGTGTCTTAGTTATTATGTAAATTGTTTTTTAATCATTAATTGTAAATTATTTCTCTAAAAATTAGGTATTATTGTACTTAATTTAAATTAACACGATTCAATGACAATGACGGGAACTAATTATAATCTAAAAAATCAATAAACAAAATCTCGTTAATTTAATGAATATTAATTTTTAAGAACATAAAGCAACAACGATCTTGAAGCTCCTAATTAGATCATAATCGAACTAACAAACTACATATAATAAATAATATAAATAAACTTGGTAGCTATTTAATTTATACAAATGAATATAACAATTATAATCTGGAATTTTTATTGTTAATAGTTTTATTTCGACATTTTGAAAGGGACACAATTGAACTTGTGTTTATTTTCTTACATTTAATTTCGTACAAGTAAAGAATTAAAAACAAAATATACGAGTATATATTCTTAGCTGCTTGATTTTGTTGTCACACAGCAACTTATCAGTTAATTATATAGACAAACATGAATATATTTATGCTTGTAATTATATAATTTGTTTTATTTAATATTTAATTTTTGTTGTTATTTTTTAAAGCGTATACTTTAAGCCCAGAGTTTGTAACATGCGCGCTCATTTTTTGATATAAATATATATGTAAAAGTATCTGGCAATTGCATTTTTATTTTTTATTTAGATTTCACCACTTCACCAGCGACTGTCAACTGTCATTCTGATAGGAATTGAAACGTGACAAATAATTTGCTTTTGAATAAAAAAGAAAAACTATGGGAAAACTCAACTCGCAAAGCATTTAAAGCAAATAAATAGCTAATCATCGTCCTAGAACGCACATCCTTTTCATTTTGTTTTACGGGCATTATGAACGGCTAATGAGAGAAGTGAAAAGCTAAACTAAATAATATGCCAAATAATCTAGTCTTATCCTGAATTTTGAACATATCAAAATTTTGAAGCATTCAAATGTAAGGGCCTGAGTTTTGAAATTATACAATTTAGGCATTATTCAAAGTAGCAAAAAGTAATCTACGAAAACCCGGAGCACTTTTCAATAAGCAGCTAAACTGCATTCAGACATAATCCCTAAAATCCTTTACAAAAACAAACAAAAAAACGCCAATAAGAATTGTATGTAAGCGTATAAAGACACAACAACAAAAATATAAATAATTAATATAAAATAGACTTAAGATATCATTTGTAAAAAGTATTTACTTCAAAGTATTATTTGAAAATCGTTTTCAATTTTTGGAATACCTAGGACAATTTTTTGAGTTTATTTACTTTTTGTTTTCAAATCGAAAATTTAGCAACAAAATAATCTCCTAGTAGCAATTATTTAAATATAATTTAAAAGAATTCGAAATTGAATAAAAGCAAAAAGAAAAAAAAAATGAAGTTAGTAAAATTTTGTTATAACAGCAATTTTGTTGAAATCGAAACCAAAAAATCATTTGAAGAAGGTTGTCAGCGACTTGTTACCGAACTTGTTGTTACGAAGGCCCAAACCGCTGGCTATATTGCCATTTGCTATTTGCAATTTGCATGTAATTTTATGTAGCAGTTTCTTGTACTTTTCATTTTATTATGAATAAGTTTGCAATTGCCTCGTAGTTTTCAACTCCAAATAATAAAGATAATGCGCATGGGGTACAAGGTAGGTGCTGTTTTTAAGTAAAACTCACATTTTCTTCAACTTGTCGTCCACCCAATCCAAATATAATTGGTTCGTTCTGAGCACCGATTTCGCGATTGGTTGCTCCAAATTTTTGAGATTCGATACCAATTCGTTTTAGTTCATTAGATAATTCGCCTAATGACACCAACTACACAAATGGACCAGTTTATTCAATATTGAATTGACAACCACCAAGAATCAAAACAAAATGAAATTATTAAAAAAAATTTGTGAAACCGTCCAATTATGAAACAGCAACAACAGCAACACACTGACACCACACACGAGTTGAAAACTGGGTACATTAAATACTTTTTAAAGAATGGTAGTAAAAACCGAGGAACCTTGGTGTTTCTCTAGTGTCTTTTCACTGAGCTTTATATTGCAAGACATTTGGAGAAAAAGTTTTTAAAAAAAGGGACACACCAGCCAGTCAGTTTCTGTCTTTGGTTTTGGCTTTTCGACCTATATTTTCTTCCATGCCGCTTAAACGAGTTACAACTACAAGCTTAACCAATTTACCAATTTGCTAACCAACTCTACCATCAAGTGATTTTCTATATTCATAATTTTCTATAAATACTTTTTAGTTACAATCCCAAACAAAACAAAAAAGCAAATGAGAAACACTAAACAAAACAAGAACTTTGTACACCGAAACGAATTCATAATATTCTAGAACGCATGTGCATATTGAGAGAAATAAAAAACAAAACAAAAAAAAAAAACTAAAAAAAAATTAAAACTATGAAAACGAAAAATAAAAAGATGAAGCAACTACAACTATATTCTTATAGGCTTATAGTTTATACTTACATACACACATACAAATACTTATATACATAAATATTTATATATAAATATATATATATATATATCAGAGAACATAACATACATAGTAATACGACACCACATCCACATATATACATTCAAATATAGTTTTTAATAAAACGATGAAGCAGCGCGAGTCAATTTTAAAACGCAAGAAAAATCTTAAACCAAACCCAGAAACCAGAAAGTATGGGATTTAAAAGCAAAAGTTACTTTGGCGTTATAAGTAATGCAATTACATGTATGAGAAGCGAATACTTTTTGGCGGTCAACGCCAAACCTTACATAATTACACCACAAATTACACCCCACTACACAAGTGAGACAACACAGATACAGATACAGATACAAATACAGACAAAGACAGAAGACACAGATACAGCAAACAGCATACAGGACACAGACACAGACAGACTAAGGACGATGGCAAGTTTTAAAAAGGGCAAACGGACAACTGCATAGTGTAGTCGTACGCGTAATTACTGGTGATAATTTTGAAAAAAGAAAAACTAATACAAATCAAATAATATGAGTAATTTTAACTTAAGCAAATGCTAGCACGTTTGAATTTCCAATAGATGTCTATTATGTATTAGAAGCGTAAATAAATATATACTGACGATTCCTTATTATACACCATACCTATATGTCTTAGTGTGCAAGTATGTAAAAAAAAAACCAAAAAAAAATAAAACAAAAGAGGTAACGCAACGTAAACGAAATTGCAAGAAACGAAGAAAAATTGAATTCAATAAAATCATTTCCATCCCCCCATGCAACCGCAACCCCTTTGTAAAAGTATTAGTGAATTAGGCCTGGTATTTAGCAGACATTATTTAGTTCCCTGACGTGCAGCACAAAATATTCCGCTCAAGAATATCCACCCGCCTCCCCAGTGCCCCATGTGTGCCCCAAGAGTGGTAGGTTCGGGGTGCATGGGGATCTCGAAATAATTTATTAGCAATTTTAAGCTACCACCCATCCGGCAGTGGCTACGAACAATTGCTCCATACTTTCGGGCTCCAATTAGTCGGTGTATGTGTGCTGGTGCATAGTTCGAAATGTAGGCATTAATAATTGCGGTTCTTACCTGTGGAGAGCAGGCCCAGCCAGGTATATACACCCATACATACATACATATAGCAGTTCTGCAATTTTGCAGTTTATCAATATACTAATATGGCTACCATGACGATTCCGTTTAACAATAACCGGTTGTAAGCAAATACACATATACACACAGTCACAGACATTCAATACTCACACTTCCATGCTTAACAGGAAACGCACACACATTTAGATTCAAGCTGAGGACAAAACCGCAATTGTTCCGTTAAACGTGTGCAATATAATTTGACTTGTGTTCGGTTAACACACATATACACACACACACCCTCATCTAATAATAATAATAGCAATGTTAATATGCAATTTAGTTGAATTTTCGTTGATCGATTTAGTTTAGTTTAGTTTAGTTAGTTCATACTTTAATTTAGAGTTTGCTGTGTGGCGGAAATGGGTTCGAAATTTGACACCATCCTTCAGCACACAAACGCACTCACACACACAGGCCACACTCTCACACATACAGACACATACACTTGTTAAACTAATCCACCGAATAAATACAATCTCATTAACTAAATTAAATAATTAAAGCATGAGAGAAAAGAAAAACATTTTCGCTATTTCCGCCTCGGGCTTTGGGTTTTGCATTGCGTTCGGGGAGCGAGTGCTTATAATTTAGGACGTGACTGTACGAGGCGCTGAAAAAAGGTAGCATACTTGTGGGCGACACGAACAAGAAAAAGGATATACCGAACTAAATCGAATACCGTATAGAGACAAATATAAATCGAAACTTTCTAAGTGTTTAGTTGATGAATCGTTAATAATTCGTATAATGGTAACGAATGTAATAAGCTAGTAATGTCAAAACAGAAACAAAGTAAATTAACACTTAATACTTAACACGATACATTTATATACATACATACACTCTGACATGGAACCCTATACATTATATACTAAGTACACATTATAACATAACATAACATACACATTCATTAATAAACGCTACATAACATACAAAGATACTTACATATGTATAAGCCTATGGAATGCAACATAATCACAGCAATGTCCTTTTGATAACCAATTTTTCGACTATGTATGAATTAATTTTTGAAACAATTCTGCGTCGCATTTACACACAGGCACACAGACATAATCAGCAGTTATATGGCTCATGCATACAGACATACATATATATACATATAAACGTTTATATATATATACATCAATCTTATCAGGCGAGGCAAACGCATTAACAAACCAAACCAAAAAAAAAGCAAAAAAATATCATGTACTGCACAGCAAATTTGCTAAACAGGATAAACAATACACACACACACACAACCAAACACTAAAACCAACACAAACAAATACACACACACACAAACAAGTAATGGACACATTGAAAAAATTATTAGCAACTATTCAAAACTACTATTTATTAAATGTTGTTAGCATCAGAAATCAAGAATAAGCTAATTATGAAATCGCTGTAGTGCAAATGCAAACAAAAAATAGAGAAAAAAAAACAACCAGAACAATGAATGAAATGAAATTGTAAACCATCATTGAAACATTTACTTTTAAGCCAAGCGTTGCAGCAAGAAATTAAACAATTTTTGCAAAAACATTACAAGCCACTTCAACAGAATCCACGACAAAAACAAACAGTACATAAAATACAAGTCTTTGATCTTAAACCAGAAATCCCAAAAACGAAACGAAAAACAAATAAATGAAAAACTTAAACTTATACACAAAAAAAAAACTCGAATGAAAACTTTGTTTTATTTCACAATCAACAATTAGTGTCGCAGTAACAAGAATCCTTCTTTCAATTACAACTTCAGCTCACCTTACTCACCTATACTTTTGTCATATTTGCAGTTAGCTACAACAACTAGAACATTTACAACAACAACAACAACAAGTTAGTGGCCGCATTACAATAACAACAACAACAAGTACTACCAGAACAACAACTAGCACCTCAGTCACCAAAAGCCCAAAAAAACTACAATCAACCAATTTATAAAAAAAAAAACGAAAATAAATAAAAACT